GAGGAGAAAGTTAAAAATATTTTTTAAAGTTTTGAATACATATTTATGTAAAAGAACAAGAAATGTAATGATTCAAAATAGGTACTTCTGTATTACCTAAATGTTATACCTCTTTAAAAGAAAGTCTGGTGGTTGCCCTAGGGTTACATCTTTAATTAACCAATGTACTTTCAAGTAATGTTATACTGCTTCACATGGCATGCAAAATGCCTTTGAATCACTTTCCTTATTTAATAGATGGAAATTAAAATATAATTTAAGCTGTTAAAATATAATTTAAGCTGTAATTCTCTATATTTTAGTCTATTTTCACTAATTCAGACTGACCAGTCCATTTTCTTCTTTTTACTTTCAGTTTACTCGTATATTCCAGGGTATTGGAAATGTTCTATATCTTGATTTGGAGGTATATAGGTGGATACATGTGTAGAAATTTATCATGTACTTAATTGTATATGTATTATACTTAGATTTTTTTTTCAATGTGATGCACAGGTTAAGCCTTCCTCATTGTTCACCCAGGAGATATTTCCATAATAGCATTGAGTTGGTTACAGAAAATATGGACAGGGCATATTTTGAAGGCTGTCTGAATGCCTTGTGTTAGCATTCAGAGCTCAAGAAGCTGGAATTTCTACTAATCAATTATCGTTACTCTAATCCAACAATGCCTTTTCATCCCAACCAGCCATCTTTCAGATACTATCTGTTGCCTAGAAAAGCTAGAGTCATATCAAGAAAGATATTTCTCAACCAATAAAACATTAATTTACAGCCCACATGCAAGAGGTGGTGATGGCGGGTTTTTTGGTATGTCAGTGAGGTATAAAGAATGGCATCATTGGCCAGATGTGGTGGCTCACGCCTGTAATCCCAACACTTTGGGAGGCCAAGGCGGGTGGATCATGAGGTCAAGAGATCGAGACCATCCTGGTCAACATGGTGAAACCCCATCTCTACTAAAAATACAAAAAATTAGCTGGGCATGGTGGCGCATGCCTGTAATCCCAGCTATTCAGGAGGCTGAGGCAGGAGAATTGCCTGAACCCAGGAGGGGGAGGTTGCGGTGAGCCGAGATCGCGCCATTGCACTCCAGGCTGGGTAACAAGAGCAAAACTCTGTCTCAAAAAAAAAAGAATGGCGTCATTAATGACGGCAAACTCTAGCAAATTAAGAATTGTTCATATTCATTTATTCATCAAGGATTCATAAAGGATTATTCATGCAGTCATTTATTGCATGCCTATATGTACCAGACCCTGTGCAGGAATATGCAGTTATTGTTTTTAGGCATTCATTGTGTTGAGGGATATAATGGCAATTACAGCTGCATAGTAAGCATACTATAGTGGGAACTGCACTGTGTCATAGCAGAGCAGAGTTGGGCTCTCTGCCAGCTGAAGAGTAGCAAGGAGTGATGGGTATGAAAGTCTTCTTGGAGGATATGAAGCATAACCATTGGAAATAGCCTATCAATCTAATGCCAACATTCTCAATAGCCATCCACTTTCCTCTTCAAAATAGATTCCTTCCTTAATGGATGCACCTTGGAAATGTACAGCATTTTTTTTTCAGTTGCTAAAGTTAAAAACATCTAGGAGGTCCTGCAAAGGAGCACAAAGAACTGTTTTAGATTGGTAAAAGAAATTATATTTCTGTACTACAGTGGTGTGGTTTCATAGGCATATATATATTTCTATACTCATCTTAGTGTATGTTTTAAATGGATGAAGTTTTATCAATAAGGTTGATGAAAAATCTAGGCATTACCCTTGACTGATTTTTTTCTGTAATCCACAGGTCATTTATAAGTGGAATCCGTTCACCTATCCTAATCCATCCACCACTCTTCATCACCATTGCCACCACTTTTGTACAAGCCCTAGCCACATAGGGCTGGGATGACTATGGTAGCCTCCTGACTGGTCTTCCCCCTCCATTCTTGCTCTCTACAATGCATTCTCTGTATCGTTCATAATGCAAATATGGTTATGTTATACCCTTGCTTAAAACTCAAAGGGCTTCCAATCTCATTTATAATAAAACTGAAATTCTGGGGAACGATCCAAGATGGCCGATTGCTAACATCTCGGGATTGCAGCTCTCAGTGCAAGCACAGAGAACTAGAGGATGCCACACTTTCAGACAAATTCTGGTTGCTCACGGAGCAGAAGATTCCCAGTGGAGGAGCCACACAGGTCGCCAGCGCAACTCTTGTGGCCAGCGCAGCGGTTTTGCCTGTACCTCGGTGCGGCAGCTCTCAGAGCAGAGTAAACAGGGCTGGCTCCCCTTCTGACTGGGGTTTGGAGGACCCACACAGGTCCCCAGCACGACTCCTGAGGCCGGCGCAGCGGTTGTGACGGCACCTTGGCACGGCGGCTCTCGGCTCAGAGTAAATGGGACCGGTTCCCCTTCTGACCGAGGTTTGGAGCCCTGACAAGGCAGAGTTGCCTATTATAGACACAAGAAGGAAGCCAGACAGGAGAATCCTGGGCAGAAAAGCACCATCAGTCTTAACGCCGCTGTTCTGGCCCTGGGAACTAACAACTTGGACATCCACTCAAGGGACTTAATCTGAAAGTAGGTAATTTCAAAGACGACAGGAGGATAAACTTACAATGATGGGAAGAAACCAGTGTAAAAAGGCTGAGAATACTCAAAATCAGAACGCCTCTCCCTCTAAAGATGATCACAGTTCCACATCAACAATGGAACAAGGCTTGATGGAGAACGAGCACATGCCAATAACAGAATCATGCTTCAGGGAATGGATAATAAGAAACTTCTGTGAGTTAAAAGAACACATTGTAGCCCAACGTAAAGAAACTAAGAACTTTGAAAAAAAAGTTTGACGAAATCCTATTGAGAATAGACAACTTAGAGAGGAATATAAGTGAATTAATGGAACTGAAGAATACAATACGGGAACTCCAAGAAGTATGCACAGGTTTAAACACTCGAATTGTTCAAGCAGAAGAAAGGATATCAGAGGCCAAAGCCCAACTTAATGAAATAAAACGAGAAGACGAGATTAGAGAAAAAAGGATAAAAAGGAATGAGCAAAGTCTCCAAGAAATGTGGGACTATGGGAAAAGACCAAATTTACATTTGATAGGCGTACCTGAATGTGACAGAGAGAATGAATCCAAGCTGGAAAATACCCTTCAGGATATTATTCAGGAAAATTTTCCCAACCTAGCAAAGCAAGAAAATATTCAACCCCAGGTAATACAGAGAACACCACAAAGATATTCCTCAAGAAGAGCAACCCCAAGGCACATAATCATTAGATTCACCAGGGTTGAAACGAAGGAGAAAATACTAAGGGCAGCCAGAGAGAAAGGTCAAGTTACCCACAAAGGCAAGCCTATCAGACTTACAGCAGATCTCTCAGCAGAAACTCTACAAGCCAGAAGAGAGGGGGCCAACATTCAATATCCTCAAAGAACAGAACCTTCAGCCCAGAATTTCATATCCAGCCAAACTAAGCTTCACAACTGAAGGAAAAATAAAATCTTTTACGAACAAGCAAGTACTCAGAGATTTTATTACCACCAGGCCTGCTTTACAAGAGCTTCTGAAAGAAGCATTACACACAGAAAGAAACAACCAGTATTAGCCTTTCTAAAAATATACCAAAAAGTAAAGAGCACCAACATAAAGAATTTACATCAACGAATGGATAAACAGCCAGTTAACATCAAATGGCAGTAACCCTAAATTTAAATCGACTAAATCCCCCAATCAAAAGACACAGTCAAAACCCAACGGCATGTTACATCCAGACCTGTTTCACATGCAAGGATACACAAAGACTCAAAACAAAGGAATGGAGAAAGATTTACCAACCAAATGGAGAGCAAAAATAAATAAATAAAAAGCAGGAGTTGCAATTCTCGTAGCGGATAAAATAGATTTTAAAGCAACAAAGATATAGTGGTAAAAGAATCAATGCAACAAGAAGAGCTAACGATCCTAACACCCAGATACATAGAGACTTAGATTCAACGAGACAGAAAATTAATAAGGATATCAAGGACTCGAACTCAGATGTGGAACAAGTAAACTTAATAAATATTTATAGAGCTCTCCACTTCAAATACACAAAATATACATTCTTGTCAATACCACATCACACCTACTCATAGGTTTAAATGAAATATTGATTGGCCATTATTAATACCCATTTTTTTCAGAATAAAGCAATATTTCCGTTTACCCTCACTCTTTCTCTTCCTCTTTCTTCCTCTCCTTTACTCATTTTTCTTTCCTTCTCTCAAAAAAAGAAAAAAAAAAAAAAAAGAAAAGAAATCAACTTGTAAACCTCTAGATCCAGGTCAGCAATGTCTCTCTCATTGCTTAATTTCCTTCCTTCCCTTCCCTCCGTCCCTCTACCCCTCCCTCCCCCCTTCCTCCCTTCCTTCCTCCCTCCCTTCCTCCTTCCCTCCCTTCCTGCCTTCCTCCCAAAAAAAAAAAAAAAACTGAAATTCTTTACCAGGGCCTTCAAGATGCTACATTAAAACTTATAAAATTTTTGGCCTCAGGACTCTCTCACACTTTCAGAAATTAGTGAGGAAAGCAAAGAGCTTGGTTATATCTATTGATATTTATCAGATTAAAAACTAAAGCTGGGATATTTTTATGCCTCTTTTAAATATATTTTTAGTGATTACTCTTCCAGGGTTTTATATATACATTTATGTATATAGATGTATATATACATATGTGTGTGTATATATATGTATGTAAACACACATATATATCTTTTCTTTTTAAGTTCTGGGGTACATGTGCAGATCTTGCAGGATTGTTACATAGGTATACACATGCCATGGTGGTTTGCTGCCTCCATCCCCCCATCTCCTACATTAGGTATTTCTCCCAATGTTATTGCTCCCCAATCTTCCCATACCCCACTAACCCTCCTCTAGCCACCCACCCTGGAACAGACCCCAGTGTGTGATGTTCCCCTCCCTGTGTTCTCATTGTTCAACACTCACCTATGAGCAAGAACATGTGGTGTTTGGTCTTCTGTTCTTGTGTCAGTTTGCTGAGAAAGATGGTTTCCAGATTCATCTATGTCCCTGCAAAGGACATGAACACATCCCTTTTTATGGCTGCATAGTATTCCATAGTGTATATGTGCCACATTTTTTTTTATCCAGTCTATCATTGATGGGCATTTGGGTTGGTTTCAGGTCTTTGCTATTGTAAACAGGGTCGCAATGAACATACGTAACACACATATATATCTTTAATTAATCAGTTTACCTTCAAATATTATATAGCTTCATTTGACAGGCAAGAAATTTTGGAACAATATTCTTTTGGTTCTTCTCTCCCCTCTTTTTACTATTGTTTCATACCTTTTACTCATACATATACCATAAAGATACAATACTACATACTCTAGAAAGTTATCTTTTAGAGCAATTTAAAATGAGGAAAAAATACTTCTATACTTACCTTCATTAATGCCATTTCCAGTGCTCTTCATTTCTTCAAGTAGGTCCAAGATTCTTTAATCTGGTATTATATTCTGTCTGAAGAACTTTAACATTTTTTTCCATAGAACAGGTCTACTTGTAATGAGTTCACCAAGTTTTTGCCTGAAAAATGTATTTTTGAAAGATATTTTTGCTGGATATAGATTTCTGTATGGACAGTTGTGTTTTTAAATTTTTTTATTAATATATAATAGATGTTCATATTTTCAGGATACCTGCAATAATTTTGTACAATTTGTTTCTTTCAGCACTTTAAAGATGTCACTTTTGTCTTCCAGCTTGCAGAGATTTTTTTTTTTTTTAGACAGAGTTTTGCTCTTGTTACCCAGGCTGGAGTGCAATGGCGCGATCTCAGCTCACTGCAACCTCCGCCTCCTGGGTTCAGGCAATTCTCCTGCCTCAGCCTCCTGAATAGCTGGGATTACAGGCACGTGCCACCACACTCAGCTAATTTTTTGTATTTTTAGTAGAGACAGGGTTTCACCATGTTGACCAGGATGGTCTCGATCTCTTGACCTTGTGATCCACCAGCCTTGGCCTCCGAAAGTGCTGGGATTACAGGTGTGAGCCACTGTGCCTGGCCCAGCTTGCAGAGATTTAAGGGGAAGTGGCTCATAATTTTTATCTTTGCTTCTCTTTATGCAATTTTTTTTTATTCATGGCCTTCGAGATTTTCTCTTTATCTTTGGTTTTCAGAAGATTGGTCTAGGGTTTTAAACATCTTTATTATTGTTCTCTAAGCTTCTTACAGCTGTACTTTGTCATCCATCATTAATTTTAGAAAATTCTCAGCCATATATTTCAAATATTGCTTCTTTCACATTTTTCTCTTGCTAGAATTTCAGTAATTATGACATATCAGACCATTTGATATTGTTCCACAACTCTAAGACACTCAGTTCCTTTTTTTATTTGTGTTTCAGACTGGTTAATTTCTGTTGGCCTATTTTCAATCGCACTGTATTGAGTTTACTGATAAGTTTGTCAAAGGTATTTTGAATCTGTTTTTCACTTCTAGAATTTTTATTGTTTCTTATAATTGTCATCTCTCTGCTAAACTCCATCATCTGACATTGCATTTTTCTAGTAGAGCCATTAACATAATAAGTATTTGAATTATTTGTCTGATAGTTCCACCTGAAGGACTTGTTTGGGGCTTCACACCTTTCCCAGGGAGACTGCTGTTCCCCTCTTCCATGCCCTGCACCACCAGGGAGTTTTCCCCTGGACTCTCAGCTGCCTCTCATCTTTCTCATGAATCCCCAGTAAAGTTCACAAAAAAAGAGCCTGAGAGTGTCAAGTCCCTTGTGTCTGCAGCTCCCAAGGGTTCTATACTCTAATATTAGCCACCTTCTGTTTTAACTCATTAAAATTTTTAGCTGAAACTTTTCTGATAAGCTTTTTGGCTAGTAGACCGTCTCTCTCTTAACATACTATACTTGCTTAAGTTTTAGATGAGTTGATTTCCCTGAGATCTCAGCAATCTGAGAGATTTAGGAATGACTGTATGTAGACTCTGGAAAACTTACTGTGTGCTTGTCGGAGAACCAATGAAAAAGGAAAACAGTATTTAGTATTGTTATGACAATTGTTTTAGCTTTGTGGACTCTCCAAAATGTTTTGGTGACTTCCAGTAGAGTCTTTGAGACCCACGGTACTCCATGATTCAAGCTCCACTCATCTAACATTACCACCAAACACTATCCCCACTTCCACACTATACTCAGCTACACTGGTACTATCATTCTGCCTGCACGCCTAGCTGTCGAATGGCCTAAGTCTTTGGCCTCATTTCTCCCACATAGAATGCTGTTTCCTTGGTCTTTGAATGACTAACTCCTTGTAATTCTCCAAATTTCAACCTGGATGTGCCTTCTCAAAGAGGTCCTCCATGATCACCTTGGTCTAAAGAACCTATACACATACACCTACTCTAAGATGTTTTCAGTCACATCACACTTTTTATTTATACTCTCAGCCATGCTTCTATGTCTCTTGCAGCTAAGTCTATCCTTGGTGTGAGTCCGACTGGGCCTAGACAGAAAACCAATTTGTTCAAAGACCGTTTGAACCTCTATATGAGCTATACTTGGCCAGTGAAACAATCCCATAGAAGTCTTCTTTTTAAGTGATTTTTTAAACCACAGTTAGCTTGTTAATGATTGATACAATTTAGTTATTCTTTTATCAAAAAATATTTTCAATATATTTCCTTATTTTGTCTTCCTTCAACTCTTCTGTCTCCTACAATATCTGCAGTACCTAGAACAGCATCTATTATATAGTAGCTGCTCACAATATATGTGAATAAAATGGCTTAGATTATTTTTATAACTAAATTGTACTAATCATTATCAAACTAATTGTGACTTTTACATCACTTAAATTAAAAAAAAAAAGGCCAGGCGTGGTGGCTCATGTCCATAATCCCAGCACTTTGGGAGGCCGAGGCGGGTGGATCACGAGGTCTAGAGATCGAGACCATGCTGGTCAACATGGTGAAACCCCGTCTCTACTGAAAACACAAAAAATTAGCTGGGCACGGTGGCACGTGCCTGTAATCCCAGCTACTCAGGAGGCTGAGGCAGGAGAATTGCCTGAACCCAGGAGGCGGAGGTTGCTGTGAGCCAAGATCGCGCCATTGTACTCCAGCCTGGGTAAAGAGAGCAAAACGCCATCTCAAAAAAAAAAAAAAAGTCTCCCATAGGGTTGTTTCACTGGCCAAGAATAATTAGTATCTAGATTCAAATGCTCTTTGAACTGGATTGGTTTTTAATCTAGGCCCAGTTGAACTTATATCAGAGACAGGCTCAGCCACAAGAGACATGGAAGAATAGCCAATAGTCTAAAATATGATTCCAACACATGATAAAGCAAGGCTGTTTCAACAGGGAGGTGTAATTCTTTGAACAGTGAGCACTGGCTTTCCATATCACCATACCTGGCAAAGCTTTGTTTTCTTTTCAATAATCTTTAGCTTATCTTCCTAAGACAATGTGAAAAATTAAAAAGGAAACTTCAGGAAGCTGTCAGAAAACCCCTGGTTTTCACATCTGCTCTACTTAGTTCCCCAAAATAATATTTCCTCAAATAAAGATGTCAGGAGTTAATGTGGACTCCAGAACTAGGCAAGAACCCACAATCAGGTGGTGCCTGATCAATCTAATGATGTGGTTTCTCTCTTATGGAAGACTATAGAAAATTAAAAAAGAAGAGCCACAGTTCTTTTCTAATTTGGGATTTGGTACAAGAAATTAAGAGCTGGTAGTTTGGAGTTTGTTTTTCACAAATTGAAAGGATGTTTTAGAAAAAAGCTCTTGCTCAACACTCAGCTCTCCTAATAAAACTGATGACTTTTTCCTTAGCTGTTGGATTTTAAATGTATGTTACTCTCTTGATAAATCTTTTCTCTAAAGCCTTGTTAAGGGCAGATATCTGGGTGGGGAATAAAGCAAGGGCAGTGATCTATGCAGTCATCAAGAGCTGAAAAGTTCTTAATTCAGTCCTAGAGAAAGGGCATAATGTGGTGGAGAATGAAGAATATGGGACCAAAATCTAAGTCATATTTGTGTGTGTGTGTGTGTGTGTGTGTGTGTGTGTATTCATTAGTCCAGTATATATTTGATGCGGTTTGGCAGAGGTTGCTGTGGACCAAGATCATGCCACTGCACTCCAGGCTGAGTAACAGAGCAAGACTCTATCTCAAAAAGAAAAAAAGAAAAGAAAAGGTATTAATGAATATACATTTATTCAATTTGTTACAAGTATCAAAAATGAACTAGGGATGCAGATAAACACAAAAATTATGAGAATTAGCATAAGAGAAAATTACATAATCATGAATTTAAAAGAAGTGGTAAGGGCACCAATCTTACAAACCAGAGACCTTAATTCTGGACCAGATTTTGCCAAGAAATGCCTATGTGATATGAGCAAGTTTAATTTCTCTGAGCCTCAGCTTCTATGTTGAAGAATAAGGGAGTTGGACCAGGTCATCATGGACTTCTTTCTGGTATAATAAGAATGATATTTTGAGTATATTTTTCTTTCTTCCCATTTATTTGAATCAAATAATAATGTACCCCAATATTTCTCTGAGATAGCCACAATATATCATCTTGAACAGTGCTAATAATCAGATTCATGATGAAATGCACAAGGAAATGCTCAAAGCTGACTTTAAAGAGCACCATCTAATATAACACTGAGGTTTCCTCCCACCACTTTAACTGATTCTTCTTAGTGGCTTGCTATTCATCACAGAAACTGATCACACAAACCACAAGGGCATTGATCATATTTCTTGAGTCTATGCATTTGTATAACCTCATTGTCTCTTTAGAGTGCACAGAATAAGAATTTCTGACAACTTCTTTTTCTCTGCTGAAAAATAATAGATGTCTGCATAATACCAATGATACTGGTCTGATGGCCAGCCAGCAGTTTACAGTTTCCAGTAGGATTTGTTTTTATGTGTTGTTTTTCTAACAGTACTGTTACTATAAAATATAAGAGAACAGTATACTGGGGAGAAGGGAGGTGATAGGGAAGAAATAAGAGAAAGGAAGTAGAGGCCACAGTTGAGGGAGCTGCAAGGTGCTTGAAGATGTTTGGTCTTTTGGGCACAATTGACATAACCATTTAAATTGTGGTGGGTTGTGCGGCTCCAGCTAAAATTCAGTCGAGAGGATTAAAAAACATAAAAATTAGACGCAGAGAACTAAGCAAAGCAATTAGTATATACAGAAGTTGGAGATCCTAGGAACAGATTTTTTTGCAAATCTTTGGGCAGATGACATTATTTGGGCATAGTATACGTCTTTCACAGCCAAACAATATGACCTGTGATGAACAGAGTGTCCAGACAAAGAGAAACTCTGGGAGTCACATGTAATTTTTTTATCAGCAAACAGTAGACTTACATCCATCTTGGTTGGTGGAAAAGTCAGCCAAGGCATTTTCCTTTCTTTGAGCATCTTAATATAATGAAGAGATAATATATGAGAGGGGACATAGAGAAGGAGAAAACTTTATTAGAGAAAGAAACATTGTCAGATGACTAGACAGAAAAAAGACATAGGGTAACAGATTTCCTGAGATATATTCCTTGGGTACCAAAGAAAGCATAGGCTTGGAAGAAAAAG